CACTGGGCCTGGGTGGCTGTGGCAGGGCAGGTGAGCCAGAGGAACGCCCCAGAGACAGCCTGAGAGTCAGTACAGGCAGAGGCGGGAGAGACCGGCGGGCAGCTGTCTGGGTTGTGCAATCGGCAGCCCACGCACGCTAAGAGGCACAGAGTCTTGAGTCCTCCTCCCACCTGGCAAGCATTCGAGTCCCAGGAGAGAGCACTGAGGCAGGATGAAGGGGACCAGAGCCACTCGAAGCCCTGACCATGCATACCTGTGTGTGGTGAAGGAATGAGCCTGAGGTGTCTCCCCCAGAGCAATCTGGCAGTCTGAGGCTGATCCTTGACCCTGACCCTGTGTTCTCAGGCATGACATCAGTTCCCAGCTGACTATGGAACAAACCCCTGATAAAACCCCTCCACGCACCTACTTCACTGACCTTCCACAGCTGCTCCTGGGGAAGTGGCACTCGCCTGTGAACACTGCCCTGTTCAAGGGAATTTGGGTCTTCCTTTGGCTCCAGTTCTCCAAAGCCTTGAGGACCAAGAAGATGATGGAGATGAACCACCTGGAAGAGGGTCTGGAATACTAGGCATGGTGCTACGGAAGGCAGGGGGCAGCTGTCCTCACTAATACCCCTCAGTCACCACTTCATTTCTAGGTGACACCTGGTGCCCTCCTCACTGTGACTCTATTGGCACCTGTGCAAACAGCCAAAGATCATCAGGAGCTGGGGTGTTCCATTTGGGGGCAAAATGAAGTCCTGGAGTTGAAAGAGATCGATTTTCTTGGGTGGCTCAAAGGGCGTGTTCCAGAGGGAACCTCTGGTGTGAGGAGGCTTCCAGGGAGGAGTGTGTTCCACGGGGACTTTGGAGAAGGGAGTAGTGGCTGTCTGGGAGGAGCAGATGGGTCTGCCACACCACCGCAGCTGCCCAGAGCAGGAGGGTCAGGATGAACATTCCTCAGCTGCTTTGGGGGCTACTTTTATTGCCAGGATTAACATTTATCATGACCCCAGGCTTGACCTCCCCTATTTGTAAAGAGTGGTGCTTCCAAGAGGTTTAGAGAATAACGAAGGAATAAACACAAGAACCCTAGAGATGGAAAACATGTTGTTAGGTCTCTTGGAGTTTTTTTCATATTTAACCTGAAATTAGTTCATGGACTCTACCATCTTGGTAATACCTTGGTAATTTTCCTCAATAACTGTAACAAATATTTTCATCAGCAAGTAGGCCATTATTTCAACAAGTGCATTTTGGACTTTAACCTGCAAATATTGCACAAACTTTGAAGTCAGAATTCTTTTCCTCCACCTGTGGGTTGGCCCTGGCTCAACCATCTGAAGATAAGTTGTCATTTATAGATATTTATGTAGCCACATAGATAATCTATCCACATATGCAAAGACTACCTCAAAGTACCTTTTAGTTGGTGGCATGCAGACACACAGAATACCCTAAGGCAAGTCTAGCCTTGGAACCAGGATACCTGAGCCTGACTCCAGTTTCATGGGACCTTGTCTGGTTCCCCACTCCAAGCCCCTCTCCTCATGTTGGAAAGCGCAAAAATGAGTACAGCCACAAATTGCTTAATGGGGATACATTGTAAGAAATGCTTAGTTAGGTGATTCTGTTGCTGTATGAACATCAGAGTGTGGTTACACAAACTAAGATGGCTACAGTGTCACTAGGAATATAATCTTGTGAAACTGTCATACGTGTTGTCACTGACCAATAGGCTGCTATGCAGCACACGACTGTATGTGAATGTCACATGCAGGGCCCATACACAGTAGATGCTCAATAAATGTTTTGAACTGGGGGAAGCTGGATAGCAGAATTGGAAAGAAACAGAGACCCTAGGACAATTCCTTGTGTTATAAGGAACAGAAAAGAGAGAGTAGGAGAAGGGATGGGTGGAGGGAAAGGAGACAGGGTTGGGGGAGAGAGTGGAATGGGCAAATCAAGAAGTAGGTATCCTGACCTCATGTCTTTGGGTGGGTTATTTACCTCTTTGAGACTCAGTTTTGATCTAAAAAATGGTAGTAATAATGGCCTCATTTAGCTGTAAGGATTCAAAAAGACCATGTATCCACCAATCCTCTATTTCTAGTTGGCACTTAATTTTCTTCTATTGTCACTGCATGTAAGAGCTATAGATGCATAAACCAAAGGTGGTATTTCTTGTTTTTTTTTTTTTTTAAGGACTGAAGAATTAATACTGATGCTATTGGTAGAAATAAAAAGCATCCCACCAAACATTCACATTAAGAACTGTGGGTCAGGCCTGTCCCCAGGAACTGGGGCAGGTTCTGGGGTGGTTCTATTAATAGGCTCAAGCACAAGGCAAAGCCAGTGTGGTCACTGTGCTGGCAAGGCCGCGACTCCAAAACACCGTCAGGAACCAAAACTGAGTAAGAGGCAAAAGTGAACTGTGCTGCTCTGATGTCCTTGCTGTGAGAAAGCATGGGCCAGGAGGATAAGCAGGTCACTGGGTCACTGTTCTACAGTGCAGCCCAGAATCCTGCTGAGTTAGAGAGCATGTGTGTGTGTGGGGGGGTCCCACAATGTGGCTCATCTCTCATTCGTTCAAACTCAAGATGACTCATCATTTTGTCTTCCTGGTAATCCAGACAGGGCCACGCTTCCAAAGGCCACATTCGCTGGCAGGACTTTCTAACAGGGGCATTCTGACTTTTTAGAAAAAGGCCAAAGTCAACATCAGAAAATCTTTTTTCTGGTTTGCAGTAATAGTCACTGTTTACCAAATGTCACTGCAGGCTGAGCAGTTGGTGCTTTATGTCCTTCTCACAGCCTTGGAGGGCAGGTATTTATTCCCACTTCACAGGTAAGGATGGCAGAAATCAAATTAAGCAGACTTGTGCTAAAGCCTACTCCCCACCCTTGGGTCTTCCACCACGATGACCCTCCTCCTCTGCATTCAGTGACCTCACCTTGGTGGCTTGAAATTGGTCAAGGTGGGGGCGTTTATACCATGGAAACTGGCAAGAAGTACCAATGGGAAAACTGGCAAGAAGTCTTCTTACCCCTGCCCCTTTTGTAACCACAATCATCTGGTTGTTAAATATATACCAGATCCTAAGTGGACAGACCCAGGAGTCAAATATAAGTCTCCTCCTGAAGCTCATGTTCTTTCTAGTTCATGGCCCAGAAAATGAGCTTCCCCTAAAAGCACACCATCAGCCTGTGGGTGGGGGTGCCCTTGAAGGCCCAACTGCTGGGAAGAACATTAGCTGCCCAGGGCCCTTGTCCCTCCTCCCTGGCCCCACAGGGGATGCCCTATCAGATCCAAGTATTATTAGTAAACACCTCTGAGCCTTTTTCCTTATCTGTGCTGAGCTAAAGATTCGACTTAAATTACAAGGGCTGAGGAAGCTGGAGACAGGATTTACGAGGTAATAATAATGTGCTCTCCTCTCTGGCACTTCTCATCTTCAAAGCATTTATAGCCATTTACTAATTAGTCCTGGGCTGCACTCTGCAGGTACAACCCCTGATGACTGAGAAACCAGCAAGAAGTGTTCGAAAACATGCAGGTGACCCTTGCTCATTTCCAAGTGCCACTTGCTTCTGTTGCTGAGAAAGAGATCACACAAACCCTGATGATTGAATCACTGGCATTTGAAACATAAAAATGGTTATTGTCTCTTTTGTCATTTAGTTTCCCCAAAGAAAACCAGCTCAAACCCTCCCTCTGGGGTACGGTTGCTGAAAGTCTTCTAAGTCCTCTCAAAAATCATATAATCTCCAATCCCCACAAACCAACACATAGTACCTCAGTTTTTTCTGGGAAATAAAAATAAGCCTCAGAGCAGTGAAGTATGTGAAAGGTGGCATGGGACTGGAAGCCAGGAGCTTGGGCTCAGTCCTGATGCCAGCACTGCCTGGTTGGTGATCCTGGGTGACTCACTTAACCTCTCTGATCCTCTTTCCTTATCTGGGGGACAGGGCCAACTCTTTTCACTTGCTGATATCTCAGGTCTGCTGTAAGGATGCACTGGGCCCATGTCTGCGACAGCACTTCTGACTTACAGTGCACGAGCTTTGCTGGTACATGAGGGAGTCGTTAATTATCCCGCCAGCCTGAGCATGTGTGGACCCCTAGAAATTGGCAGGAGCAGAGGGCAACAGATCACATCGCCTGCTATAGGCTACTGCCAGGGCTGAGTGGCTATTGGAATGTGGAGGGTCCAGTCCATGTGAGCTCACCCATTCCATGCTGCAGGCCACCCTCTACTAGAACCAGAGCTAGAAATGCCTACCGAATGCAGTGCAAGCTCTGGCTCCCTCAGCTCTTGGCTCAGGGGACAGCAGAGCCCAACGCGTGTGCCTCCACAGGCAGAGAGTGGCCAGAACAATCCTAAGGGACTGTGCCATGGAGCTGTACAGGGGATCTGCAGCTTGGCACCCAACTGCCCTGAGTAGAGAGGCACCTTCCTGTGGGCAGCTGCTGGACAGGTCAGAAGAGAATCCGGGATGGCCAGCTGGCTTAGTGGGTCAGGGCCACTTCCCAGGACAGTCACCTGGGGAGTTTCACCAAGATCCAGACACCCACATCCCAGTTTATGAGAGTATGGTTCAAGAGGCCTACAGGAGGGACTAGAAACCTCCCAGGGAATTCTGATGAGCCGAGGCCATGGTCTGGTCCAGCCCCCTCCTTGTATCACAGAGGGGAACACAGACTGCTCTGCGTCCTGGGGATTCCAAGGTTTCAGGTGGGGGGCAGTGCCCGCTGGCGAACCCAGAGCGGGGCAGCTCCTCATCTGGCAGCCCAGCGAGGAGGGCTGTTCTCCAGCCTCCTGACAATATTCCTGGACTGGAAATACAGGAAGGAGAAGCAGCCTCACCAGCCCCACAGGCCCAGAACCCGTTCCCTTTGGGGGTCCCCTGGTAAAACAACTCCAAGGGCCACATGGGTAAGATGCTCATTTCAGGGGGGAAAAAAAAGCCAAGGGCTGGCCAACCTCATAGCTTAACAGAAGTCTCGGAGACAAAGACTTTAGAAGAAGGTAGGTACATTTATGATGTCTTAACTCTCCCTGGAAAGTTACTGCATCGTGGCCTGTGAGTTTATTTCTTCCAGCTAAGAAATATAAAGAAGGGGAGAGAGAGAGGGAGCAACCAGCAATGGAGGGTGCTAGGATTCGGGGTACCACCAGCCAGCTCAAGTTTGGGTTCCAGCAAGCGGGGCCATCTGGGGCACGCAAAGCTGCCGTGAGAGCAACACAACTGCCATGAATTCCAAGTGGCTTCCAGGAAGCAGCCATGGGTGCTGACACGCATGTGGGCCGAGCAGTCTGGCTGGCCCCCTCTCAACACTGGTGTTTCCTAGAGCTTTCCATTGGCAAATGCAGCCTCCTGGAACTGAGGGACAAAGGTTTTGAAATAAGCCCTGGTGGGAAAGAAGGGAGAAAAAAAAATTGTGGTTAGTACAACTTGAAAAAAAGTGCAACTCAGAGCTTTTCACTCTAATTCAGAACAGTTGTTATTTATTGTTTGTGCATCTTGGAGTGGATTTTCCTCCTCTGCCAATGCAAAGCCCTCTGGATTTTTCCCAGGGAGGTACATGCAGCTCACTGCTGTGTTCTCTCTCATGGATATTTTAAGGGCAGGTACACAGATCTTCCTGGCTGCGGATTCAAGACACATCAGGACTCAGGCTTTGCTGTCCGTTCCCAGAACTAAGACAATGACCTGATCCAAGCCATAACACAGAGTGTCTGTTTCAACCACCCTATCATTTCAGCAGTCTGAAATATCAGCGGGATTGCACTTTCCCCTCAATTGGACCCTTGCCTTCATATACACAAAGAGGACCTAATAAGAATTTATAATAGAGACAGGGTCTGCATTTATTTTCAAACACATAAGCAGTCTGGTCCACTGGAAAGAAAGCCAGGCTATTTTTTTTTTTTTTTGGTGGTGTGGGGATTGAACCCAGGGCCTTGTGCATGCAAGACAAGCACTCTACCAACTGAGCTATATCCAGCCTGGGGGCTGTATATTTTTAAAAGAAACTTCTCCAAAGATGTGGCAGGATCTGGGGCAAATCATATGGGCTTCTGGATACCCAATGTCTGATCTATAGAAACGGGGCCACATTCCACACCAGGAGGTATGCATGAGCTGAGCCCGTTCTGTGCCATGTGCTGAATTGGGGCATAAGATGGCCCAGGCATGGCACCTGCCATGTGGGAACACTCAGAGGAGGTAGCAGGCATAGAAATAATACCATGCCAGGTGGCAAGAGCATCTCTGGAGGTGCTGTGGCAAGGGCGGGTCTGTGAGGGAGGAGTGGGCATTATGGGCAAAGGACACAGCAAGAACCGAGGCTTGTTGGTAGGAGGGAGCTGCAGAGACGGGGGCCCTGGTTACCCAGACTTACCTCTTAGACCCCCACCAACTCCCACACAACCATGGTGACGCTTTACATACACAGAGGTGGCTCACTCAGCAATCTCGCCCTCTAGAACAGTGACAAGAACTGGGAAGGGCCACCAGGAAAACCTGTCACCACACAGTCTGATGTTCTACCAAATGCATTCACAAAATGTTTATCAAAGAATAGTTTATAAAATTGAATGATTGTCAATTAGTTAAAAGATCTATGTATTTAGAATATGATTCTAATAAGCCTGACTACCGGCCTCTGGCTCCCAGAAGATCAGAAGCATCAAATCAGGCTACCTTAAAGGCAGGAGGCAGGTTTGCCTCACTAGTGAGAAGCAACAATGTATACCAAACTGCCTGCGAGAAGACAACAGAAAACTACCTAGGAGACAGCTAGCTCAACAGGGATCCCCTGTGTGGGGGGTGATGGCCTCCATCACTCAACAGGCCTGGGGGCATCTCTAGACCAATGAATGAAGTTACTGATGCTACTTCACTGCCTCTTCCCCACCAAGTCAACTGAGACTCTTTCCAACTGGGCCTCTGTGAATGTTCTGGCTCTTTCTCAATCCTAGCTGCCACACAGCTTCTCTGCAGCAGTTAAATGTTGGCTCCTCTCTCTGGAAGTTCTCTTTCCCTGGAACTTCCATGACATTGAACGTCACCGATCTCCTTCCTCGCTTTCAGATGGAATCTTTCCTTGAGCTTGTCCCTCCCTGCTCTCCTCTCCCCTCGTGCAGAGCAAGGTCAAGATCATGGTTGCTGGGTTACCAAAGGCTTGCATCATCCTTAGCAGAGCACTCCTCAGCCTGGTTTCCAGTCCTCCTTCCCCTCTTGAACTTCCAGTCCCACATTCCCAACCACCTGTGGGACATTCTGACCTGGAAATTGCTCTGGCATTCAAACCAGCCTGTCCCACAGGGCACCTTCATCACTGTTACAGGGCTGACAGTGCTATGTCCAATTGATACTTCTGCAATGGAGCTCCCAGTTCCCTAAATCCCTGTGGTGAATCTCCTCTCTTATCCCATGTCCCTCCATTCTGGGTGACATCTCTGGCTCTGGTCTTGTTACTGTTCAATGAAACTGCTGTAGAAGCTTCTTCCCCCTTTCTGGAGTGTGGTCTCTGCACCAACCTGACCAAGACCTTAATGTTTTCTAAACTCTCAGCCTGACTGTCAGTGACAATTACCGACTCCAACTCATTAAAAAAAAAAAAAAAAAAGATTTGACCTCTAGTATGTTTTTTGGGGTCTCATACCCCTCTTAAAAGCTAATAAAGTAAAGGATTATCTCCCCCAGAAAATGTGCGAGGGCCCCCAATTGCACATGCCACTGTAGGGTGTCATGAACCCCCACATGCCACTACATGATGTCCGGAAGCCCTTCCATGGTCCGGCACAGGAGCCCAGGTCTACATATCTTCCCCTGACTGTGGCCACCTGCTCTTGCTCACATGTGCCATTTTTCATCTCTGGGCTTTATGCATATTCAGGCCAGATGCCCCTGCTCCCTAAGTCCTCCCTGGCCACCAGAAAGTTCTCTTCTGCATGCAGACACTCTTTGTTCTTCTTCCAGGGCCCCGGTCCCATGTATTCATGTCCTTCTCACTGGCTTACACTTCTGGCCCATGGAAAGCTGGGGTGGGGTGTGTCCTCCTCTCAGGGATCCCAGGCCTGGCTCAGCATGCTGCCCATGGAAAGCACTCAGTCTGGCTTTGTGGTTCTAATTAATGTAACTCATGATGGCACTAGTTTGCAAGAAGCCGATAAAGTAGGTCCATCACACACTGTTTAAGAAGGTGGGAGAGATAGCAACCCTAGAAAGCAGTCAATGTAAAATTTATGTACCAATGAAAAAAAATTTAATTTGTTTGAGAAAGACAGACAAGGCACCCTCCTCCATCCACTCCTGATGGAAAGCACTCAGTCAGCTGAGCTGTCACCTTCTCTGATACTTAGGACCCAAAAACCCTTGCCTGTGATCAGCCGGCCATAATTATCCTTAATGCACCAGGGGAACTATGATGGTGGCAGAAGGAACCCTCGACCTGGAGTGAGACTGGGTGGGCCAAGGGGAGCCCTGGTCTTCATTCCCTATGGTGAGTAGGGGTGATAAGCTCACCCTGAGGCGATCCTTGCTTGGAAAAATGTGTGGCAACTGTCAACTGCTGCCCAGATGTGACAGCCTTCCATTCCTTACACGTTTCAGCTGCTGATTTTCCAGCAGTCTGGGGAAAGTCTGGTGGTCCTTGTTCTGGGGGTCAGAGAAGGACAGGTCACTGTCAGCTTCTGCGCTTTTGCTTTACTGCTTCAAGAGTGCCATGGGATGGCCCCCACCCTGGCCATGTTCCAGGTGAGGGCTGGAAGGGAGAGGCTGCAGCTTATCTACACCAAGGCCCCTGACATTCCCCATGAGTGGATGGTTCTGGCCACAATGATCTCCCGGGGTACTGGCCTGAGCCTGGCAGTCATCAGCCAAGGGGCTCTCCACCGCCCCTCATGGGACCTGAAGCTAATCCACCAGCTCAGTTTTTCCTTGGAAACTTCTGAGGACAGGGGCTGCAAGCTCCTTACACCAAAGGGTCTTGGCAAGAGGGAGCAAGCTTGACAGGCAGACTCTCATTTGCAGAAAGTTCCACAGTTTCTTGTGTGTCCCGGGCTTTCCCTGCCAGGGCAAACTGCGTGCCACCAAAGGGAAGCGCAGTGAGGGCTATTTAAAGGCAGGGTGCTACCAGCTGTTTGCAGTGGGTGCTTCTCAATTTGGATCCTTGTCAAGTCAGTTGAGGGGGAGGGAGGGGAGAGAAGGGGAAAAATGACAACTAGCTCCCACCATTTATAGATGTTTGTAAAGCACTGCTTTCATTTATTTCACTTTTTATCAGAGAAAATGGAGAGCTTCCCGGAGTGAAGCTTGCTAATGGCACTAGTTATCTGTCATCTTTTTAAAAAAATCTGTGACCCAAAGGCAAAATGTATGGTAAGCTTTGGAAATACATGCTGGTGTCTTCTCATTAGGTAGCCAAGGGGGGGCCCACAGGAGAGAGGCCTGGAGTTAGCCAAGCCCCTCACTGTACTCACACTGGAAGGGAATCTATTTTTAGGCCAAATTAGAGCTCAGTATGCTTGAGGACAAATAAGATTCTTACCCTCTTCACTGACCTCAGCTGCTTTACTCAGGGTTTCAGAAAATCATAACTTAGTCCACTTCAAGTCTCAGGAGAATAAAGCCTAGAGAACAAATCCAAGGCCAAGGCTAGGTGGGTTCTGCACAGACTGAGAGCAGGAGGGGAGGTGGCCTAGGCTTCAGCTCACAGGCACAGCATAGGGAGGGGAGCAGAGTCCCTGGACCAGAGTCAGGATGCTCAAAGGCTCCACTTTTCTAGTCCTGGAGCCCAGCATCAGTCTGTCCCTCTCTAGGCTTCCATTCCCTCATCTACACAGCTGAGGACTGAGTGGAGGATCTCCATGCCACATGCTGCTGGATGTGGACAAGAGTGGAGAACACAGGCCCTGGGGCCGGCCAGACTTGAGCTGCAGGCCTAGTCATGCTCTTGCTAGCTGGATCCCTTAGGCAAGTGACTGTAGCTTTAGATTCTTTATCTGTAAAGTGGAAATTGATTGTGCCTGCCTTAGAGGGTTCTTGTGGGGATTCAATGAGATGGTCCAAGTATATACTTGGCATGGTACCTGGCATACAGATGATCAATAATGCCAACAGTTACCATGGGTACCAAGTTGGATCTAATGGAATTCTAGAAACAGCCACAAGCATGTGCAACTGCAGAAGAGAGAAACGTATGTGGAGAGAGGTCCTAAGGTCCCTGCCTCAGTTCATACTTTTCCCTGGGGCTCCTTGGATGGGCCCCTCCCTTCTCATTTATTGTATTGATCGGGTAGCGAGAGGCACAAAGATGGTCACTCAGCCAAAGCCACTGCTATATTGTGTATCTTTTAAAATTTAGTCCTGAGCTGCTTGTGGCATACTGTTGGTATATAAGGG